GACGCCCGTCCGCGGACTGACGCAGAGGTCCCCACGTGCCACGCTGCGGGGACACCGCCAGCACAGCCCGGTTCTCAGAGACCGCGCGCCCCGTGCTGTCGGAAGCTGGGTTTACGCTTCCCCGAAATCCAGGGGAAATGTCACATTAGGTGTTTAAACTTGTTTTAAAATTTGTTTCAAGTCGAACTTTAATCAGTGACGCTGACCACGCAGCAGATCTATCGATACGGTGATTGATTCTGCCCTCTCAGTAAATACCCAGGCGGCAACGGGAGCAAGCAAGGTCGCCGATAATGACCCACGCGGGTTTTTTTTAAGAGAAAAAAGGTAGAATTCCATGCTGTCAATGATTTCTATTTCTGCAAAAATAGACCTCTATAATGAACTGCAAAGATCAAAAGACTCCTAAGCAAATAGCATGACATTTGAAAAACGTGGATTTGACACACAAAAAGCACTTTGATGATATTTAAAATAGGTATCTACCTGCTTAAACTGTATTTGAAAATGCAATCTAATTGTGAGAAAAATCTTGGGAAAAAAGACTTACTGTACATACTTCTAAAAGCCGTGAAAGGCAGTAAGACAATCAAAATGAATGAAATGAATTACCATTTATCATTACTAGAAGCAACTGGCAGCCACTCAGAGACCGCTGCCCAAGTTGTCAAAACAATTCTTTACATATTTTAAGTGGGGATTTATCACCGCTTTCAAAAAGCAACGTTAAAGATAAACCTTCACCGCCGTATGAGAGACACGGTCACTTTCGGAAGGAAGGGTCTATGTGAGCTTCACAGGTACTCCGCACCGACTGGGGAATTCGCTCGCAGAGGTGTGTACGTCCAGCAAAGACGTCATTCTGCAGGAAGCCAGAGGCTGCACCTGCAGCTCACTTGGGAAGAACAAACTGCAGGCAGCAAATGAATGAAAAATAAACTTTGTATCTAAATTTTTCAAATGTGCCATATGTTCCAATGGAGATGTCACATTTAACTCCGAAATTAAATTAGACACACGCTTCCAACATTTCTTAATAACAAAAACTTTAGTTACTGAATTTAGCAGGCTCCTGGGCATCCAACTTGAACATTCCGCAAACTTGTTACAAAGTTGAACGTGAACTTGAGATGCAGGTGTAAAAACCATCATATTGTTAAAACATTTCATAACCAAGATCTTTAGAAGACAGATCCTCTTGTGTAATAGCTGAGATCCATCTTTACTGTACTGAATTTCTTTACATTTTAACTAATAATGTTAAAACAAGAAAATGGCACAAGTGGCTTGTTTGGACGTTATCACAGCTAAGCAGGAGGAGGGCTGGTGGCGGGCCGCAGCGTCGAGAAAGATGAGCTCGCAGGAGGCCGGTGGCCAGGGAGGCTTCCGGCTCCCTCCACTGGAAGCTTTGTCAAGAAGGCACTTTGAGAAATAGACCTTTGTTTCGTTTACGGAATTAGCTATGTCACGACTGGAATTTTTTCCACAGCAATCTGTTTTATTTTTTTCCAATCTGGTAATAGAAACTTCTAGATTCACTCTGTGAGAATGGAGTTATAGAAGAAGCAATCTTGTGTAAAAATTAAGATGGAAATAAATAATGCACAAATATCCACAAATAAAATTTGTGGATATTTCATTTTTTTGAAAATTATGACCACCGGGTTGATTCTGAGTTTTATGGATATATAATCAAATCTGAGGCACCAGGATAAAGATGATAAAGTGGCAATAAAGATAAGGTAGATAATCTGATCAAAAATGACCAAAGATTTTGACCACTGATATACAATTCCTCAGACTCGAAGAACACGTTTTTCTAAAATTAAGTACGTGTGCACACTGGTACACACATCACAGACCCACCTGACACAATGTAAGAAACCCATAAATGTTGAAAACTCACAAATTTTGACTCTATAATGCCTGAATTTATTTTAACGGGCTAGTAAAGATTATATTTAAAAACATTTATCAAATAAATGTAAAGTTGTTTGCAATAGGGAGAAATATAAAACCACCATGTTGTCCATATTGATTAGATAAATAACGATGAGAACGTCAGTGGTCTCGCTGTGGCAGACCTCTCCGTGACGTAGTAAACGCTCCTGCTGGCTGAGAGGCAGCACAGAGACCCACCACACACAGCACGAGCGTCCGCCAGAAAGGAAAATTATAAAACACACCAGAAAACAGAAAAGGGCTGGATTACGCCCCGAAAGCTATAGCAGTGTGCCTGTGTGCGAGCGAGGGTATCAGCACTCACCCCCTCGTCCTCGTCATCAGCATCCACTGCCATTCCTCGCTGGGGCCCGCGGGATGGAGAGGCGGATGCAGCAGACACCGAGGGTGTGGGACCCCTCAGACGGCGTGGGGGGCGGCGGGGCTGCCCTCGGCCTCATCTCCTTCCCTGGGAGGGGGCTTCAGCACGCCCCCTTCCGGGGTGGCTGACGCCCGGCTGTGTTAGGAGTGAGCGATGCTCAGAGCACGCAGCAAATGTCAGCAATCGTGCAAATATTTCTAATTTGGGAGTCTGTGTTCAAATTCTCTAATTTTGGCTGAGGCATTCCCGTGAAAACCGCATTCTTTACTAAGAGGGTATCGGCTTCCCAGGGCGGCTGAAATAAAATGTCACAGATGTGGCGCCTTAGGGAACAGAAACGTATCATCTCAGTTCCGGGGCCAGACGCCTGAGACCCGGTGCCTCTGACGGCTCTCGGGACGGCCCCCCAGGGGACACGGTGGCTCACATGCCCCCTGGCGTGTGGCCGCGTGACCATCCTCTGCTGTCTCCAGACTCCCTCTGCTCATCCCGTAGAACACGGGCACCGACGCTGAGGCTTCGCTCAGTAAGTACGGGCCTCAAGACCCTGAACTCAGTCCCGTCTTAGCCATATAAATCTCCAGGGGTCATCGGTATGTGGGTGTAGCTTCTTGGGGCTCAGCATTCAGCTGACCCCAGAAGACATTGGACAGTGGAAGATTGTGGGCAAAACTCCCCTAACCCTGGTGAGCAGCTTCCTAAAACACTCTGAGAGGAAACCTGCGTGTAGTCGTGACACAGCCAAACCCTGGGGCAGAACAGTGACTGTCATAGCCTTTTATAGTCACGTGGCGCTGGCTGGTCTTTTCTAGCTAATAAAGAAGCATGTGCCAGGCCATTAACGGCACATGATGTCACATAAAGTCCACATGTCACAACGCATCCTGTATTTAAATGGTCCCGGCAAGATAAAACCCGTCGAACCTCCCAGAACCACGTGGAGTCTGGGACCTGTGTTCTCAGGGCCGCGTCTTGCTGGGGACGCAGGGGCAGGGCTGGCAGGAGGCGCCATGGCGATGACGCGGCGGGGGAGGGGAGGCGTCACAGGCCGCCGATCTCCGCTGCAGGCGGCAAGGCTCACTCGTCACCAGGAAAGTTTTATTTAAGTTTAAAACGATGCAGACTCTCTCGCGCGCTAGGTCCACTAGAAAGGAACACGAAGCCGGCCAAGATACCCACGGGTCCTCCTAGCTCACGAATGTCACACAGGGCTCCCGTGGGACCTCCCTGGAGCGGTATCTCGCCCTCGCCTGCGACACCACACTTGTCTGACCCGCAAACACACCGGCCCTGGGGCGGAGGCTGCCCCGGCCGAAGCCAGTGACCTGGTCCCCTCAGACCTGGGCTAAACGTGGGGCGCCTGGGACCAGATCCGGGTCTCCTTCCCCCGTCCTGGCCGTGCAGGAAAGAGAAGTCAGCTCCCAGAGCTGAGACGGAACCCCGAAGCTGTGGTCTGTGTGTGTGTGTGTGTGTGCGCACTTGTGTGTGTGCATGTACGTGTGTGTGTAGTGAGTGTGTAGAGTGTGCATGGCATGTGTGCATGCAGTATGCGTGTGTGTGCATGTAGTATGTGCATGTGTGCAGTATGTGTGATGTGTGGTGTGTGCATGTGTGCACATAGTGTGTGCATGTGTGGTGTGTGCATGTAGTGTGTGTAGTGCCATGTGCTGTGTGTGAAGTATGTGTGTGGTGTGTGCATGTGTGTAGTGTAGTGTGTGTACTGTGTGCACGCAGTATTGTCCGGGTGTGCACACAGCATGTATTTGTGTGTGTGCACGTGCGCTCGCACGCACTACGCACACTCCCGCATCCCCACAGGCGTGGCTGCCTCCGTCCCCGTCCCTGAGCCACGGTGCTCACCGCCACGGCCCTGTGCCACGCGCCCGCCTGCTCTCAGCCGCTGACCCAGGGGGCTTCTCCCGGTCCCCCAGCCCCTCGGGTGCCACGGCCCGAGCCCCCTCTGTCGATACTGGTAAGGATGAATCGGTTAATACACGCAATTCTGTCACATCGGCTTTCTCCGTCCCTCACGACACCGTAAAGACATGCGATCACGTGTTACGTGTGCCACCCTTTGCAAACCCTGACCTCTCGTGATAGTCTGTGGCCGCATTCATAAGCGCGTCCCCAGCGGCACCCAGCAGTGAGCACCCGGTGCCGGAGGCCGTCCCTGACAGCCTCCTGGGCGTCGCACGTGGCCGGCTGGCCTGCTCAGCGCTTCTGAGCCACGCTCTGCGCGTGTGTCTCTCTGGTTCCCAGCACAGCGTGTGGCACCCAGCAGGTGCTTGAAGACCGCCCTGTACATTGTGTGCGTGTGCATTTGTAAGCACAAGGCACATTCCCAGATGACACCAAATTTTATCATCACAAGTCCTCATTCTCCACGAGAAAACCTCGAGGCTGAGAAAGCCCCGCGTGGTACCGCGTCCCCTCTCCCCGGGCCCCCGTGTCGGGAGGCAGCCACCTCTGGCGCTGCCGGTACCTAAGGGCAGACGCTGGTGCTTCTCTGCCTCGTTACGAGGACCACGATGATTTCAGGGTGGAAACCAGACTGGGATCCCTTCACCGAGACAACACGCCCTTGGGCTGGCCCGCCGTCCACGCACCGGCTGCCGATGCCCCAGCCTCAGGGCGTGAGGAGTCATTTGCATTTCTCAGTACATGATGAAAACGCATGGTGATTGTAACGCGAAAAGGCAAATGATGGAGCCGCTCTGTAGATGGAGCCGCCCGTGAAGTGCAGTCGCCCGGCGAGAAATCGCTATGAGCGACGATGTTCGGCAGGGTGGGGGGCGGTGGGGGGTGAACTGTATTTTCCCATTAACAGTTATGCTGACTCGTAACATCGATATCCAAATGTACCGATTATAAAAATACAGAGGCATAATTTTATTCCAACCCCAAATGGCTAATCATAAATGTAACATAAAGTCTCAGTACAAAAGCCAGAAACAGGACTTTCTCCCTCTTATTCACGGAATTACACAAGTTTAATTCAGATAAACGCTCACCGACTCAGCCTGGCGTGTAAGTACCGGGTAGGTATATAACCGCCTCACCCGACTTCACGTCTCCCAGAAGGAAGGGGACGCGTCCCACCTGCTCATAAGCAGTGTCACTGGCGAAGCTGCCATCGCACCCTCTCTCAACAGTCACTGCCTTAGGCTAGTCCGTTTCAACCGCCGGACACCCGGACAAAGCTGGGGTTCTGGCAGCGGAGAGGTGTGCGGCTGGCAGGGAGGGGCCGGGCCGCCGCAGGGACCCGGGGTGGGCCAGGCTCGGCGGTCCGGGAGGCACGTGCGGGGAGCGGCAGCAGCACGTGCAAAGGCCCTGGGCCAGCGCAGGGTGTGCGGTGCGCCGGGCGTGTAAAGCAGCCGTGATTTGGAAAACGGAGCGAGCTGTGCGGGGGTCATTGTCGCCTCCGACACAAGCGCGGGAGGAAAACCGGGTTTCAGGACTGAGAGGACGAGACCGGTTCTGGCAACGTTGACCCGGCGGCCGGGCCGCACCTGCGCTCAGAGGTCTGAGCGAGTGGCTGGAGGCCGGCTCGGGGTCACTGCGTACGATGACGATTTAAGCCACGGACGGGGCAGAGGCGACCCGGAAACGAAGCGAGAGAGGAAGAGGTCGTCCAGCAGGAGACTGAGGGCTCTGCCTCTGACGGGCACCGTCCAGGACTCTCCCCCGGCGGTCCGGAGGGGGCTGGAGGAGAGCAGAGGCTGTGCTGGCCCAGACGTGAAGCCAGACGGAGCGGAGGCACCAGGTGCTCTGCGGACGCCAGCGCCTCGGTGCCTCAGGGCCTGGGGCTGAAGGCAGGCAGGCCGCAGGTGACTGGGCGGCCACCAGCCAGAGAGGGAGCCGCGGGCACAAAGCCAGAGGGAAACAGCCCGGGGGACGGGTCCGGGCTCCCCATCCACCTTTCAGGTTCTGTTTTAGCCAGAGAAGCTGGTTTCCCCTTAAAAAGTGCGCGAGGAACACTATTTAGTTTCTGAAGGTTTTGTCATCCAAAACGTCGCTAAATGTAAAATTCTTATCTCAGTGGAAAACGTTATGTTTTTTGATAGGAGTAACTGACAGCCACCTCACATTGTAAAAACAGGTTATTTTCCTAAACCCCAGCTCAATCGACAGAAATGTCCCGTGACACAGCATTCATGTAGTCGTATTCTAGCGATTCTCGAAATAGACAATAAAATATCTGCCTGCTAAAAGCATTCGTCCTAGAAATGGAATTTAATTCATACATATAATTTGTTGTTTAAGCTATTTTGCTTAAAATATAAATAGTTATTTCCTGGGTATGAGAGGGAAATCTGCCTTCTGGAGCTGGGGTCTAACTAAAAAGGAGTGACAAATAAATCAGTAAAATGAATGCTAATGAGCACAATAGTATGTGACCCCGAGTTTCAATAGTGTTTATGTGACCGTTACATAACAGTACAACTTAGTGCTATAAAAAATGACTAAGCGGCATTGTCGTCGAAATGTCAAGAGTACAGTCAGCTTTATTTGCTCGTAGTGATGACGTGGCGAGGGACGCACTCCGACGCCGGGGGACGTCTCGGGCAGGCACAAGGCTGCTCCAGACACTGACAGATCAGCGGCACCGAAGCCAGCTCGTGGCTGGGTCGGGCCTCTGAAGCCGAATTCGTCAGGTGCTAAAACACAACATGTTTGCCGACTGTTTCCAAGAGTATCCTCTACGAGTGTTCTCCACATAAGGTAAGAAGCATATTCTTTTTATTTTTCATGTTAATCTTTGCTTAATTAAATCCTGGCGAACAGTTAAGAATATTTACAGGATCTAAAACTGCAGACTCCTTAGAAAACAGAAACTATTTACCCAATAATTTTAATTGAAAAATCACATCATCATGAAATTCCTAGCACTTTTTAACAGGATTGAAGGAAATCCTGAAGCGGTGAAGACCGGACTCTGTCCTGGGCGGCAGGGGCTGGGGTGGGCCGGCCTGGGG